TGTAAAAGAATGGAAGAAAACACAAATAATAGTTTTTTTTTCAAAAAGCATAATGAAATGGTTACATTGTAAGCAGTCGTTCAGAGTAGTTTGGTGTGAAATTATCTGTTCTAGAGAAACTTACTGAGTCAGAATTGTTCACAGTGGTGGTGATAGGAACCAGACGTCCTTCTCCAAAAGATCCCTCAATGAATGCTTATTATGAACGCTGCCTGACATTGCTTTGTGAGAGTTTTGAGAAGGACTCAAATGTGTATGTTTCTAAAATTTGTCCATGCAATACTTCTTTTTTCAGATGCACTGCTATTTTCCCATCATCAACATTCCATATAAAACTCACAAGACACGTGTAGGTTCACTGGTGGTTTTTAATAGTAAATAAAATGTCTATATTTGTGTTGTAGTCATGGTGACCCCTGGTTCCTATCACCACCACTATAAAGAAATCTGAACCATTTCACACCAAACCACTCTGAATCACTGTGCTTACATCTCACACACTGAAATATTTAGTAAATTTGTTATTGTTTTATTTTTGTTCGAGATCAATAAAGTGCTATCTATCTATCTATCTATCTATCTATCTATCTATCTATCTATCTATCTATTTATTTTGTTAAAAAATTATAAACAGCTATTGGAAATATATATATATATATATATATATATATATATATATATATATATATATATTACTTAAATGAAAACATGTATATTTAGAAAATAGATAATTCGTGAAGGATGTAATATTTGGTAAACAGCGCAGAGTTTTAACATTGTGATGACGTTTTGGCTGCACACGGTAAATTTTATGCTGACTAGTGTTCGTTTAATATAAATACATAAAACTCTGAGTTTTTATTTAGAAGTGGAACAAGACTCAGTTAACGTTTTACGTCCTCATTTATTTTGCTAATTGCAATTCTGAAGACGGCTCCTTTTACTTATACCTCAAAAAGAAAAACATGAGGCTATTTATGAGACTTAATGCCATTATGTATTTAAAGTTCTGTGTTTGTGGCAGCGTCCTTCAGCTTTGTAGCAAAACGGTCACTACGCTGATGTTTTAGAGTCCTTTCCTGAACTCTTAGAACAAAGAGCATAAAGGGGGAAGATTGAACACGATTTTATGAACCCTCTTTTTCATAAATGTTCAATCCAGCACTTTTATTACTCATATTGCAATGAGTCTAAAATGCATGCCGCATTACCTCCACACAGCTTCCAGTGTCTTAACGCTGGTGGTTATGACGTGCAATGCCCTGCTGCTCTCTGGGGTTTAAGCGGGATAAAAGCTTTCTAGCTCACAGCAAATTAGACAGCAGCCGTCCCTTCCCCGGTCAATAGTCAGATGACCTCTGTTTCAACTTGGGAGCGCCATGAGCCCGCAGTACACTCACACCTCCACAACATCCAGCAGCCTTTTTCCCAAAATGTGGAGTTTGCATTTTATACACTGACAGCCCTGACATCATTTATACTTATATGATGCAGTTAAAATTACCTTTTCATACAATTAGTTGTTATCACTCAAACCAGGGAAGTTGCTTGTACTGTAAAAAGTGTATTTTAACTGAAAAGGACTAGCAATGAGAGCGAACTTTGAAAACCTAAAAGTTTGTATTTGTATTCAACTCCATGTATAATTTCAAACAACTTTAAAAAATGTGACTGAAAACTTAATTAATTTAAGGCAAATAGTTACCTATAAAAATGTGAGTAAACTGAGCTTGTCAGGGTTTGCAGTGTACAGTCTGGCCTATTTAGAGATAAATATGATCAGGCTGCTACTCAACTCTATTAATGTGAGACTGAGCCGAAAAAAAAAAAAACTTTTTATAAACGTCCCATAGTTGCACATAGTCTGAAAACTACAGATAGCCATTCATTCAGGATCCTGAGTTCACGTGTCGGGCTGGAATGCATGATACGCAGTAAGAAAAGCCAAAAGAATAAGAAGGAAGTCACAAGAGAATGTAATGACCTCTTGTAGGCTGATCAATAGGTCTATCTGAACGATCAGTCATTACGTTTTCGTATCAACCGCAGGCCAACAAGATTGGTCATTAGAATGTTGTTGTGAACTTAATAGGTAGTTCCGTAGACAATGGTTTCATACAGAAAATAAAAATTGGTTCTATAAAGCACCTGAAACGGTTCTATTGTATACAAGCTTGACATAATAACAACAACTGAAACCTTTTTTTTCTGCTGTATAGGGCCATTTCCAAAAAGATTGTATATAGAACCATATACAACACATTCTCCATCAATCTGAAGAACAATTTCACCATGCAAAGAACCATTTAACCATTTAAGCATGCAATTGTTTTTTTGAGTGTTCATGGTTCTATATAGAACCATTGTCTTTACTGAAGAACCTTTGAGGAACCATCTTTTTTAGAATGTAGACTAATCAGTAGGTACATCTGAACCCTCAGTCTTTGAGTTTTCGTAGGATAATTAGAGATCCACTAAATTGTCATTAGAATGTAGTTATGAACTTAATAGGTAATAATACCGAAATAGATACGTAATAGATAATAATACCGTAGCCTAAAAGCCGGTAGAGCTGAAATCGTCTTTATGTTTGCAATTAATATAAAAATTGCACATTTAAAATAGTAAGAGCTAGTGCCATTTTAATTTTACCTTCTCAAAAGCATTACGTTTAGAGTAGGGGGACTTAATAACACAAAGCTCGTGAACTGCCTGTGGATGAAGTAGACCAATCAGAAGCGACAAAACACACGCCTGTTGTTAGCACATTACGATAGGCATTACAATAGGCACATTATGTCTACTGTCCGAGGCTCCAGTCAGCCTTCTTGGCCAGACCTGGACCTTGATATATATAACAATGGCAATTTGAATTGGGGTCACAGTATTGTTCAGAAATTTATTTTCGCCAAATTGTTCAGTCCCAACATATAATATCTAAGTAATTTAAAACATTATAGATGCTATCCTAGTAGTTTAGAGCGTGATAGAAAGTATTATTGTAATTTAGAAGTATAATAATTATGTTATAAACACTGGGTGATATCTTAGTAATGTATGATATTCTAGGTTGCTTATGGATAGACATAAATTGGTCCCAGTGCCACCTACTATTTATGAATTTTGGTTAGGCTATAGACTGAACAATATTTTCAAAGGACAAATGTTCACCCACAATCGTCTGAGCAGATTACAAATGAAAGGTCTTTTTATAACTATTACAGGAAAATAACTTCCCGAAGGCATGACTCAGCATCTAAAATTTTATTTTTATTATCTTTATTACTGTGCGTGAAAAACTGAGCTATTATTCATTTTAAAAAGCGCAGTCTAATTTGTCCACATAATAAGACTAGCTTAAATATGACCCCGTCCATTTATTTATGTTACCTTATCGTACTTAGACAAAATATCATTAATAACACTTTACAGCTCAAGTTTCGTTTGCTCGAGCTGGTCCTGATCTCGCGTTGGACTCAAGTGAAGGCAGGTGGAGCCGCCTGTGTCCCAGCACACTTCTTTTCTATTGTCTAATGTGGCCTTCCTGTCTCAAGCAGGGTCACAACCCCTAAAGAAAATTCCATTCCAAAGAAACTGAAATAAATTGCACTGAAATGTTTAAATTTTGTTCCATCAAAAATGTTATGTTGAGATAACAAAGTCTGTGTAAATAGACTCTACTCTGACTGAAATGTGTGGCATTACTGAATTAATTTCATACAACTAGTTAATGTTTTTGGTGTGTTTTATTCGGCCATGCTTACCTCCTCCAGCCGACTTTACCTAAAAAAATCATGCAAATCATGAAAAATCAGGCAAAAATAAACACAGTTACTTAATGTAACGTGTGGCGTTTTCCCAAAGAATAAAAATGTTGTCCACACGCGCACACGCGCGTGCACATACCACAGCCAGTGTGGTGGGTTACATCTTTAAAAAAAGGTCAACACCCATTAGCTAGGGACACTTGGCCTCGAGCTGAACCCGGGCCCTACTCATCTTCTGTCTGAAGAATTCCTCAGACGGGCCCCCTTTTTTTTACATCGTTTACGTGACGTAAGAAAGAAAAGACGTCAGAAAGAGTTTCCTTTGTGATGAAAACTTGAGCTGAGCGCTTTAGTTTCCCCGACTGTTCATCTTTGATCAAAACACGTTTAGTTGACTTAAGCAGACATAAACACTCTTACAGCCCTACCACTACACTCTTGAAAAGGATGGTTCTCTACATAGAACCATGAACACTCTTATGCACACTCTTAAGCATGCTTAAATGGTTCTTTGCATGGAGAAATGGTTCTTTAGATTGATGGAGAGTGTGTTTCTATATAGCACCAAAAAAGGGTTTTCTACTGCGACGATGTCAAGCTTGTATGCAATAACAGAACACTTTTTGGTGCTATATAGAACCATATAGAATAGATTCTCCGTCGAGCTGAAGAACCTCTTCACCATGCAAAGAACCCTTTAAGCAAATAGTTCTTGTGTCCATAGTTCTACATAAAACTGTAATAATAATAATAATAATAATAATAATAATAATAAGCAACATTTTGGATCTTTATATTGCCATTTTCATTTTAGCCGTTTTATTCCTATGAGCTTGTACAGAAATCATTCCACTGTTCCACTGTTCCATTTTCCATTTCCATTTTATTTTTCCTTCTTTTCTTTCTTTCTTTTGTAAATAAAAATTGCCTACCGTTAAACTTCTTTTGAAATGAACCAAACTCTCTCAATTTTGCTTCGACACCGTTTTATTTATTGACCACAATCACTTACATCACAAAACACGAAGTGAATTTTACACTTTACAGGTTAAAATCACATTCTAATATACAGAGATAGTCGCCTGTAGGCCTACCACGAAAAAATAAAAAATCTAATTTTGTTTGAAGTGAGCAGATTTTAGATTTCTGAAAATCCAGATACGTTAGCATATCTTATCCCATCACATTAGACCTCGAACAATTCAGATAAATACGAGACGAATTAGTTACAGCCTAAACAAATACATCACGTTGTGCATGTTGGACCAAACTGTCCTATGATTTCAAGTAAGCAGAAAGAAGAAGAATAAATACGCTGAATAAATTAACCCTGCTAGCCGAACAGTCTCAGAGGTTATTCTCATTCCATGAAACTTAATGAAACCCAAAAGCGCCAGGAGAACATCATGTCTTCGTGTTGATCGATGTATAAAAAGAATGCATTTTGTATAAATATCATTTGTTTTTTTTTCCTTTCTGTCCATGAAGCATCGCTCCGTCTATAGTCTGGTAATATCCTGGGCTCGTGCGTTGGGGGAGTCGCTGCCGCTCGAAGGTGGGTTGCGGGCTGCTGTGGTGGCCGCCGAGCTCGAGCCAGCAGTGGAGGAGGGTCGAACTTTGGTGTTGGGCAGCCTGTGATCTTTCTTCCACTTCATCCTGCGATTCTGGAACCAAATTTTGATCTGCCGCTCGGAGAGGAGCAGCGCGTGGGCGATCTCGATCCGCCTTCGCCGCGTTAGGTAGCGGCTGTAGTGGAACTCCTTCTCCAGCTCTAGAACCTGCTGGCGGGTGTACGCGGTGCGCGAGCGCTTGGGTTCACATCCACTGTAACAGGAGTTCACTGAGAAAAGAAAAGGAGAGAGAGAGAGAGAGGGAGAGAGAGAGACAGAGAGAGAGAGAGAGAATGAAAAAAGATGAAAATGGAAAAGGATGAGGATCCAGACTGATGAAGGGCACACTAAAAAAGATGGTTCTTCAAGGGTTCTTTAGTAAAGACAGTAGTTCCATGGACACTCAAAGATTGTTTGCATGCTTAAATGATTCTCTGCGTGGTGAAATGGTTCTTCAGATTAATGGAAAACGTGTTGCTGTATATGGTTCTAAATGAAACCTTAAAAAAAAACACCAAAAGGTTCTTCTGTTGTGACAAACATGATATCGTAACAGTAGCAGAACCATAACACCTTCCCCATGTATCTGAAGAACCAGTTCACTGTGCAAAAACCCTTGACTCCAATTGTTCTAAATAGAACCATTCCCTTTACTAAGGAACCCTCTTTTCAAGAGTGTACATGATATAAAAATTTAAACTAGGCTTTGGCATGTATTGCAAAATGTGTATCTTTTGAACCAAAACTGTGCACCTGGCCTTTTTGTGTCAATCACAGTATATATACTGAAATTTGTCGCCAAATTATTGGCCATTGACCAAACTCATTTTGGAGGTTTTGTTTTTGCCACATCTTGGTCTCCTTCTCCACCTCCTCTCCCTCCTCCGACACATACATAACGGAACAGGCTGCCCAGACTATTGCCTCTTCTGTAAAATTTATGGCTGGTGTAATTGCCAGCGCGCGGTCGTAAATCCGCCTCGCATGCGTCGCTTCAAAGGGCTCCTCTCTTACACCGTCAACGTTGTGGCCAGCGCGACTGCTAATGGCACACAATTGAGGCAAAGTAATGGGAAGGGACTGGAGCAAAAAAACGCTCGAGACAGAGAGAGAGAAAGAGAGAGAGAGGGATTGATGGAGAAGGAGAGCTGTCGCTAAGTCGCTATCCTCTGCGCAATAACCATTACCCCAACCGTGCCTACCCGCACTGACGTGAATTTTCTTCATCCAGGGGTAGACCACGGGCTGCTTAGTCCCAGCTGGGTCGGTGGGCACCTCGGGGGCAGCTTGGCTGCAAGCTGGTGGCGCAGTCGCCGGCGCGGAAGGGGACGTCGTTGTCGGCGGAGCCGCCTGCAGGTCCCCCCCGTGGACGAGCCCATGCCTTTGTTGAGGCTCAGGCTCGGGGATGCTTTCACAGTCATACTGGCGCTCTTGGTAGCCCACGCGCTGAGGATACAGTTCCTGGTGGTGATGCTGGTAGCCGGCGTCCCGTGTACGTCTGTAATAGTCAGGACTGTGGTCAGTAATGTAGTTATTTTGGGAATATTCCTCGCAAGGAGGAAATTTGGGATCGATGTAGGTAGACTCCATCAAATACGAGCTCATGGTCATTAATTTCGGGAGGGAGAAATAAATTTTCCCACCTTTGTCGTTTTTCTGCTCTATAAAGCCCTCCTACCAGCGAGGGGACCCCGTAAAGTTACTTGGACCACGTGATCACGTTATAGCCCAATGGCAGGCGGTGAGGTAATTCCCGGATACGGAAGCCAATGTTTACCTGTATTTTTTCGTTTAGATTTGTTCGGTGCATCCTCAAAATCTTGACTATCAAAATCTTGACTATAATCTGAAAGAAGGTCGGGCCAACCACCTATTTTCAGTGCGTGGCTGTGGGATAAATTGACCACCAAGCTATGGGACAGTGTGTCAGGGTGTATAGGACATGCATTATAACCCAACGCTCGTCATTAAATGAGGCTTCATTAAGACCCCAGTTAGTGCCACTCTCCAAATGACTCGTACACAAGGGTCATCAAGATCCACTTACCATCATCACTATACATAAAATCATACTGCATAAACTAAAGTCTTCAAATTCAGACCTTAAAGTTACCTTAAAACCTAAAAGACCTTCCAGTTTCTGGTTCTAGATTTTGTGATTAAGTGTAAATAGGTAACCTTGCTATTATCTTTGGGGTCGATTTGACCCCATTCAACGTTTACCGTCTCTAAATAAACGATTAACATGTTTTTGCTTCATATTTAACGACTTTTTTCTAATTAAACGGGACGACTGAGTAAAGATGAAATTAACCTGATCTGTTTTCAATGTCCTGTGCACATTTTGTACACATCACTGGTGTTCTTTGTGTTCAGTTTGACCTTGTACAGTTTTAGCTGTATGAACATTTTACGCACACTTATTGTTGAGGTCACTAACATGCGATTTTATGATGTTCAAAAACAAAAAACATTCCTCTCTTTTATGGGATAACCTAACATAACCACACCTGTAGTAGCGCAAGAGTCACTGATAGATCACACCAAATCGGGGGTGGTTGTTGGGGGGGGGGGGGGGTGGGGGGCGAATCCCCAATAGCACTTTGATATTTCCCGGAGGTTTAAATTGCTGAGGTCAAATTGACCCCAACGATATCGTATTTCCAAATCAATATAGAGACGGTGAATAAAATAAAGGTAAGCGCGTCCAATCCGCAAATAGAAGAAGCTGGAAATCACCAAATAGATAGAAATCATCAAAAAAGATCCCCTCGAAATTGATGAGTAATGTGGGATACGCCAGTTCATTCATTTGGGTATGCGTCTCGAGATACTAGGTGGAAACCCACCAGACTTGGAAAAACACAATTCATCATTTTTTATTTGATTTGTCTGACTGATGTAATGTTGGGATAATTGCCTTCTTTCAATACGTTTTTAAAATGCCTGTATTCAGTTAATATCAACTTGATTCCTTTTCCTAACTCTTCGTTTTTTGAGTGAGTATCTGCAAAGTCCAGGACCAGAAACTGAATTCAAGGCCTCTGATTATGCAGTCAGCTTTTAGGTATGGCACTGATGGTGCAAATAGTCAGTGAAAAACAACTGCAATTTGCCCAAAAATGCTTCTGCTGTGCATTACATTATACAGTATCCCCATTATCCACCCCCCCACACACACACACACTCCACGCAGTCCAAGTCATTCATGGCCTAATGCCACTGACTGTTTCATAGACTTCTGGTGGTCCTACAAACGTCGCAAAACAGGGGATCTGGAATCGCCCATGTATGCCCGTAGACGCGAATTTGCGGTTGTTATGCGGTCACGCAAATTCGGTTCTACAGGGTGCATATAGACGACTTCGAATATAAATAACATCATCGTGAAAACAAACATGTACTTCACAAGAGTTGTAGACTATACCCTGCAGGGATACAAACACGCACGCGCACGGAGAGAGAGAGAGAGAGAGGAGAGAGGAGAGAGAGAGATTAGAGCTATTTCCTACTGTGCTCGTTCAGCGTTCCTGTGTTTAAACCACATTCTTAAAAAAGATGGTTCTTCAAGTTCTATATAGGACGATGCACACTCAAAGAACCATTTCCTTGCTTAAAGCGTTCTTCATATCGTTAAAAGGCTCTTCAGATTAATGGAGAACGTGTTGTACACGGTCTTATATAGAACCTTTATGAAAAGGGTTCTATATAGCATCAAAAAGGGTTCTACTCTTTCACACAAGCCTGACATCATAACAACAGAAAAACCCTTTTTGGTGCTATATTTAACCATATGCAACACATTCTTCATCAATCTGAAGAACCGTTTCACCATGCGAAGAACCATTTAAGCATGTAAATGGTTCTTTCAGTGTTCATGGTTCTATAATGTTGTCTTTTCTAAAGAACCATCTTTTTAAGGAGTGTATGATGTAGATTTTTACATGTTCTGTTTGTAGTAGTAATAGTAATGTAATAGTAACATATTTACCTTCATTTTAAGCAACGTATGTGGCTTATAATGGCGAAATCTCTCAAATCAGATCAAAGTGTTTTTTTCATACATGCTGCCATAAATTTTAGATGCCAGGGATGTTGCAAGCCCATCCCCCATTTCCCTCTCTCCTCCCTCTCTCTTGCTGAGGGCATATTTTAATATTAGACAGCCTGACCGGCGTTTCACCCCGGCATAAGATTTGTTTCAATAGTTCACTGCCAAGGAGTTATTGATGAGACACCGTCAATGAAATTTGTCCCAATACAAATGCCATTTGTCCTGCGCTCATCAGTGAGAGGTTTTGCGCTAAAGGTGAATGTAGACTTCATGTGCGTGTAGGTCATGATGTTTATTCACCAGCATAGAGGCTGTAGAGGCTTTGAGGTTTAGTTTTAAGCTTATGAAACGAGAGCTTAGACTGAATCCAGCTCCTGTGAGTTGTTACATTCTTTTGTCTTATGGCCTATTGTCCATTTAGCATCGCGTTCTTAGGCTAGATTTGCAGTGACCTACACTGAATGGACTCCAACAATTGAATTGAATGCCAATTAATAGGTGTTTAGTTCAGTGCTGCCTTCACCTGGGTTCCAGTTGCATTTAATGTGGGCAGAAAACTCTGTTGTCAGCACCATAATAAAATACTGCCTTTTTTGGAATCCAGCACCATTTACAAACGAGAATGATTCAATGTTTCATGATTTTAGCTTAGTGCTACAGAATTTTATTGAGGATTCATATTTCGAAAGGCCGTACATTAATAAGCAATGTCTTGGAAATATTACTAAGGCTGTTTGCTAATGTTATTGCTAAGCCTATAACACGCCCAGACATCTATCTGCTCCCACTCTAAAACATGGTTCTTCAAGGGTTCTTCAATGCAGGCAATGATATAGAAATGATGAACGCTCACTATTTTAATTGCATAACTGGTTTGTTGCATGGTCACATGGTTCTTCCTTATGACGGAAAACCAGCTTTTAAAGACAAGGTTCTATATAAAAGGGTTCCACTATTGTTACGAGTCACCTTTTTCAGAACTATACATGTGACTGTGGAAAGTCAGGTTTAAACCCTTTAGATATTTGAAAAATTGCCAAAAATAGATATAGAATTTAGAATTCAGGCGACATAGAACATGTACTTCTATTTTGTACATTAGCCATTGTAAAAATATTTAGAAATAAAAGAATGTCATTTTTAACTCTGATATCCCTTTTCAATTTAGTATTGATGCCCCAATCAATGGAATGTGTTCACATGATGATGTTTGTTTTAAAACGACTGACTATTATTATTATTATTATTATTATTATTATTAACAGGAGTCGTACCAGTCATGATTAGTATATGATTAATACATTGCAGTCAATATGGACTAAAGCATCACTCAATAGCAACACGAAGGTTTCCACATCAAACCTGGTATGAATAACTTCGAGCTCATTTTTTCTCAGTAAGGACGACCTGAAGGCCCCTTCTGCTTCCTAGTTTCCTCTAGTTACCTCACTTGCTCATTACTTTTCAAAAGAATCTGGAAAGTAGCTCAGCACGTCATGCTTTTGGAATGGACCTGTGCGTCTGCTTGCACAGGCTGTCAGCTTCTTTATGATATAAATTATATTCTCAGTGCATGAATCAAAACACATAGATTCGCCTTATAAAGCCAAAAAGGAACAATTCTATTAAGAATTCTGCCGATCTGGTCAAACCGCTATAAGCCACCTCTCCCTAAAGCAGAACCACTCCACACTCTTCTTTCGAACAACCTAAAGAGCTTAATAAGATTAAACCCAATGCTACAAGCCTGATTGAAACCCATTAGCGCGAAGAACACCCGAGCTTTTTTGTTCTCAAGGAAACATTAAATTACGGTATTAATTAAGGCCCCCTTTGGGCGGCAGAGCGGCAGGTGTCTATTTCATTACAAGCTTGAGAAATAAGATTATTAACTTACTGCACCGGGTGGGAGCCATTTGCCAGAGCCGAGCGAGCAGCGCACGCGGAGCATTTGGAGCGAGACAATCCCCACCAGACACTGGAGCACTCAGATAAGCTGCAGCTCCACGACAATTAACGTGTTTGATGTAAATATATTGAGGGGTTTGTCAGTTCTGCCTAACCATAAAACTTACTTTAATAGCGTCACGTGCTGGCCGCGAGCCACTCACGGCCACTGCCCTTAGGCCGTGCGCCTTATTCAACCTCCAAAAAAGTTGAAAAAAGTGGGGGAAAAGAGCTCAAAGCACGCGCTTTCTGGAGAACAGAGTTTATGGTCAGTGGTAAATTTGCGACACTGTAAGCGGTTTGGTTTGAGTAAAGCCTTGCAGATGTTTACAGCGCTGAGATGGTGAGTAGCTTAAGAGTTTAACGTTGTTACCTGTGTGTGGTAGCCTGCTTGTGCTAAATGTTCTGATGGATTCATGAGAGGAGATCCTCTGCCAGAGCCTGCCAGTTTGAATAACGTCGTATTGGTCAGTTAGAGGTTTAAGATGCTAGCCTCATGATTGTTGTGGTATGATGAGAAATTAACACAGTATGCAAGACTCTAATTTAACATTTAATTCCGTTTTCTCAGTTCAAATGAGGAGAATGAACGGAGACTTTGAGCAACTTTGCGCAAACCTCATTTGCATATTCTTTTGTATTGATAACATTTTGAAAAATTAACTTATAATGCTAACTTACAATGCTAATGACCCCTTTCTTATTAAAACTGGCCCATTCGTGTAGCTTGTGCTACATTTATACACCCGCAAAACAAACAGTCTTGGTTGCCTGGTTCACGCTGATTGCCGTAATTTTGGTTATTTCTTACTACTCAGCCTCGCGCGCAGGAGCGAGCTGCACACACATCAAAGACTACATGGCAATGTGTCAGGGTAAAGGCTATCTCAGTTCCCATCTGTTTCGTTAGACAGGAAACAACTGTCGTCGTTTTGGAGGTGCTAGGCGAAGCCATAAAGTTTTATTGCGCGTCAGGGCCGTAAAAGTTTTACAGGCATCCGTCCGTACTGTAAACAATTACAGGGGAAGCGAAGAGCCACAGTGAGGCCGAATAAGAGCTGGACTAGGAGAACTGCAAAACTGAAAAGTGGAAAAGGACTCTATACGGTCCAGTGAGTGAAGCGCTTTTGCTCAGGCCTATAAAATTGCGACTACAAAATTGAGAATATATGTAAATTTTTGCGAACAGTGTAAAAGTAAATTTGTCATGATTAAATAAAATGATTATGTATTTTGCTGTCGTATTAAGTCTCTTGTACTGCTTCTTCTTCTACTACTACTAGTACTATTACTACTACTAATAATAATAATAACAGCTTAGCTAAAAAATAACAATAACAATAAATAAAATAATCCGTGTACACACACATATTCAGGGCAGACCTGACGCATTGCGGATGCCATTGCCCATTTGGGCAAGTGACATCGACCGGAAAGTACTTTGTGTCTCTTCAGGCTTTGCATTGAACCAAGAGGCCTTCTGCAGAACAGCTCAAGCACCAACATGGAAACGTTCTCCTTCTGAGTGACACGAGTATTTATTTTTTCAGCGCATACTCAAATGAAGCCCACAGTTTGGACATTTAGTGCACACTTGCTCAGTGGACTGAATATAAATAAATAAATAATAAGTAATCTGGATTAAATAATTTCACTCAATCATTTTCTTTTTGTGCTAAAGACTTCACGTTTAATTTCAACATTTCAACCAAACGTACAGCAAACATGATCAGTGTCTTACAAAACCACTGAACTTCCTAACACTTGGTAACAGGCACTGAACACAGATTCAAACAAAACAAAATGTCGAGGTGAAGTGGCCAACTGCATTATTCTCATAATAGCTGCAAAGTTTTCGAGTCTTCAGCAAATGATTCTAAAAAAGACAAAGTAATTTTGTACATATGTACATTCTTATATTAATATAATAGTTCACTTTCAATGGTTCACAATTAAAACATAATACAAGAACACCAAAAAAGAGAGGAGAAACGACATCAAATATCGCGTGTGGGTCACTGGAGGCGAGGCTTAGAACTGTTGTTTGACTTTGAGCTTTGAATCCTTCTTCCACTTCATACGGCGGTTCTGAAACCAGATTTTGATCTGCCTTTCGTTCAGACACAGGCTGTGGGCAATCTCGAGGCGCCTCCGCCGCGTGAGATAGCGGTTGAAATGGAACTCTTTCTCCAGTTCCAGGGTTTGGTATCGGGTGTAACTCGTCCGAGGACGTTTCCCATCCGATTCTGGAGCGGCACCAAAATGAGATAAAGACAATCCTTAAAAAAAAAAAAAACAATAGGCCACATGCAGCAGCTGGAGCCTTATGAGTGCCATACAATGCTCATAAATGGGGAATGTATGCATCTTCCCAAAATATAGCCTACATGGACTCATTTAAACATTTAAACTTAACTTGGTGTCTACACTTTTTAAAACATTTAACAAAGATGTGGGAAGAAGAGTTGACTGTGTGAAATGACTTCACATGAGAAAAGCGGACGAGGTTAAAATGAAAAATACAAATAAATAAAAAGAAAAAATAAAGAAATAAATAAGGCCCCAGTTTCTTATCATAATAGCTGCTCCTATAAAAAAGAAACTGGTTATTATTCTTAATTTTAGCCAAATTTGACATAATTTTTTGATTATTTCCCTTTAAACAGATACAGTAGTGTTTTTGGAGGTGGTTTGTTTCCCTTATCCAATTACACCGTCATAAATTTGGCCCGAGATCGTCTCTTCGTCGTAAGCGGACAGCTTTACGAGCAATTGAAGCCTTTGTCATAAAATTTACGACCGCCAGTTTTATTATTTCCGAACGCGGTCTATAAAACTCAGGAAAAAAAAAAGAAAACAATGAATGGAGTTGGGGGAGAAAAGCGACGACGAACACATGGAGCAAGTGAAAGTGAGCAGCTACAGCTCGCTGCGACTGCAGGGAAAACTTTACCGTGGCTCATGTGCAGTTTAGTCATCCAGGGGTAAATCTGAGGCTGTTGCGCGCTTAGTGGCGCCTGACGAGCTTCGCGCGTTGCCGGAACGGACCGGGAAGCTCCCGCTTCGCTCTCCGCCGCGCTTTTCCTTCCGCTCTGATCTTCCAGGCGAATTCCGCGATTCAGGGTGCCCAGATTTGGGACTTTTGGAGACTCCATGTGTGGCCCCGCTCCAGCGCTGCCAGGCCGACCGGAGCCTGTGCCCTCCGCCGTCCTCGAGCTCCACGCTGACGTGCCCCTGATCGAGCCGCTCCGGTGCTCAAGCGGACCGAAGAAACAACGAGGCGGCTCGGACGCCGAGGAGCCGCGAGCGAAGGCGGGCGCTTCGTGGCTTGACTTGTCGAACCACGAACCGGAAACGTAAGAGGTCATCATCTCACGAGCGACGCGCCGCAGAAGAGAAACATTTACGCAGTTGAATTACTGCGCGGAGCCGATAATTTTGTTATTGTAAATGTATTTGATTTGTGGCTCTTTTGAACGTCGTGGGGGCTTTATATGCTAAAACGAGCAGGATTTATAGGTGAAGGGTTTTTTCTCTTTTTTTCTCAGTTTCTATTGCCCAAATATGGATTGTTTCAGGGAATCACGTGCGTGTGTCGTCCAGTCATAAATTTGGTTAGATCGTACCAGCAGGTTATTGATGGAGGTGGGCAAAACATTTGATAAGTTGGCAAAGGGGACACAGGAGGGTGGGGAGGCACGGGCAGGGAGAAGCAGGACTGAAGGCCAATAGCGTCACCTGCTGCTCAAGACTTTACAGGGCAAGAAATTGCGTTTAACTCTCAAAACAGAATACAGAGCCCAATATTACTGATTTACTGAATGAGAGCAAACGTACACATATGTATACATTTAAGGAGAGAGAGATGGATTCAGCGCCAAGAGCAACAGATTAAGTAACATATGTATTGTATTGTTATGGAGGGATTTTTGGGAAGGCAAACATAAATGACCTCAAAAATCCTTAGAAATACAGCCTACAGTCTTAAAAAAACGGTTCCTGAAGGGCTCTTTAGTAAAAAGAAAGGTTCTACTTATCACAGAACCATGAGTTCTATGTAGAACCATTTTCATGCTTAAGTGGTTCTTTGCATGATGACATGGTTCTTTAGATTGATCGTGTTGTATGTGGTCATTTTTGAAAATGGCTCTATATAGCATCAAAAAGGGTTCTTCTATTGTGTCGGTGTCAAACTTGTACCAATAAAAGAATCCGTTTTGATGTTGTATGAAACCATGAAAAATACATTTTCAAATCTGAACAATCATTTCACCATGCACAGAACCATTTAATCATGCAGATGGTTCTTCGAATGTTTATGGTTTTACACAGAACAGTTGTCTTTAATAAATAACCCTTGAGGAATCATCTTTTTAAAGAGTGAACAACCTATATTAAAACGTGTTTTCATCCTACTGCATCTACTTTTACCACTTCAGTCCTTTTTCCAATAAAAAAGTTTTTATGGGCCTTGATAAACAATGCACGATGGGATCAATGCTTTACACGAAATTGGGCGTTTAGATTTCTGACCTGGATGAAATTAAGAAAAAAAAATAAGACTGTAATATTTTAAAGTAAGCAAAGCACAATGCCCTATAACCAAACAAAGGCTTGTGTTATTTTGAATCAGGCTTAAGTTTTCGTGTTTCACTTGCTAACGTGCTTATGAAATACAATGTTTACATTACTCTCCACGATACATTCATTTTAATAAGGACAAAATATATGAATCCCGTCAAAAATACTGACTCACAGAGAATACAAATCTGTCAAGCACGTGTCTATATCTTCTTTGCTTTTATTAACTTCGCAGTTGAGAAGTTGAGTTCACTGTGGTAGATTTTTTTCAAAAAATCTAGCTCTCTAGCTTGAGATATTAAGGCATTATAAAGCGTTTCTGACAACAGTTACAGAACTCATGTCTAACAAAAACGTTTTGTAATTTACAAAGCTTGAATATTTCAATAAAGTTTGCTGGTTGAACAGCATGTGAACGTTATTGTGTTGATTTTGATTTTTTCCTGCAACCAAAAACTCGGGAATTCTGTTGCTCTGTAATTTTCGCATTGCTTAGAATAAGACAATATACAAACAGTTACTTCCAACTTACTGTTTCCTTCTATAACTTTTATTTACAGTGTGTTCGCTTAATAGCTTTCAAATTATTAACAAGCTAAGTTATGACTCAATCTCATGCAGCGTAGCTCTAGTGCTTGGTGAATGAATGAGAGACCCTGACAGGTCATAAATATTAGTAAAATAGAATAGTTTAGACTTGTCTTCACTTTGAGATTTGCCTTTTTCCATTTTATGTTATTATAAACTCTGTTGCAGTTTAAGAACTGCGCCGCTTTATTTAGGCATATGTGTTGATTCTTCATTGGTTATCATGAAAGACACTTAAATGTTGTAATATATAGAGAATTCTTTGATTATTTAGTTGGCCTGAATTACACGAACAAAAAACTAGCGTCGGGTTCGCCTTCAAAAGTATTTTATTTTGACGATACATTGTTTTCATGTTGCTGACCAATGTGGTCACAGTCTCACTGTGTACGGTTCAATCTAATGGCTAATAACAATGCACCTGAAAGCTGAGGCATTTACACAAATGCTGGGAATGTTGCGTCACACTTTTATATTCATAAACACGTTCAGACACAGTCACAATTCAGATTCAGTATACTTCATGTTTGCACCATTTTAATGCTTCATACAGTTAAACCATGTAAAAACAATTCAACATAAAAAACATAACAAAACAAAAGACAAGTTTTAACCTTTATAATGCCACAAGTCGTAGCCAATAGACACGATCTGATTTACTCAAATAACATGACATTTTTCTTTCTTGCTTTGCTAAGTATTAGCGTGGTATGCAACATACATTCATGGCAGAAATTTTGCCAACTGGTGGGCACAATTTGAGAGGCTACATTTGGGAATGAAGTGTGGAATGGAGTGTTTGGTTCCTAAACATAAGAAAACATGGAGAGGTCATACATCTCCGGCGTGCATATGGCACAAAAGAGTTTGTCTCGTTGAAAACAGTTTTGGCTTTTAAGCATTGCGCCAAACTTCAATAGGTAGTTTATTTCTGATAGGTAGTTACTCGTACAGCGGTTTAATACCGTAAAGAATTAACACGCCAGTCCTTATTCCTTCTTTTCATTCGTCGCCCCTTCTTCTTCCTCCTTGCCTTCTTCTTGGCTGCCAACCGACGGGACGCTGTCGTTTAGGGTGGAGGTGAGATTGCTTTCCTTCTTCCACTTCATGCGGCGGTTCTGAAACCAGATTTTGATCTGGCGTTCGGTAAGGCAAAGCGCGTTGGCAATTTCGATACGCCGGCGCCTCGTCAAGTAGCGGTTGAAATGAAACTCCTTCTCCAGTTCTAGTGTTTGGTAACGGGAGTAGATCTGGCGACCTCTCCGCCTGTCAGACCCATAGCCGACCCCTGTAGAGGACAAAAGAGGTTAAAACATACATTTCAGGGAATTACTGACAGCTTCAAGCCAAAAAACCTGCTCTAAATATATAGACTTAAATGTTCATTAGTTTAGATAACTTCGCATTTCACCAATTTACCTCCATCATCTAAGCAAGCTCCCATAAAGCCATAAAAGCTCCCAGAACTTGGGATTTGTTTTGAATGGGCTTCTGCTTTCTGACAGCGCGTGTATTTTGGCCAAAAGGGATTTCCCCAAGAGATAAAAGGCATTTATTGCAGAGTGACGAGGAGCTCCTCCACTGCTTTATGGGGTGATAAAACGTGAGTTTAAAGTCGTAAAAAGCAGCCCCCCAAAATTTATCTCTGGTGTTTAACTACTCACCACTGTGAGAGTTCATCCGCTGCATCCACGGATAAATCTGAACGGCGCTCTTTGGTTCCTGAGATGTGCTCCTGCCTTGTTCTGAAGCGTAGTCTTGCGCCAGAGAGCCCTGTGCGCTCTGTCCCAAGCTCTGCCTGCAGCTTGGGAGCACATCCTTGTCCTGGTAAAACACATTGGACCCGTAGTCATAAGGTGCCCGAGCAGAGCCGAACATAACGTTGTCTTGTGGTGAGTAGAACGGCGTGGAGTATATCCGGTTCTGGGCCACGGCGGCGCCATAGGACGAGAAGTGGCGAACGGGGTCATAAGTGGTGGAGTTCAGGGCCACATTGGGTAGAACCTCCTGGCTGCCGGTTAAATGGCACGAGAGCGACGGGTTCGTGAAATAGGAATTCATACCGTCCCTCTCTCCCCGTAAACCTCGCTCCCACTCTTTCCCTCCCTCCCTTACCTTCTCTGATTCTCCTTTCTCTCTCTCTCTTTCTCTCTATTTCGCTCCCTCCCTCGCTCGCTCAACTCTTCCTATCTCTGACAGTCTTTGTATTAATATTTTTTTCTTCCAAAACACAGAACCGCTATGTCATTTATTTCGGCAACGGCAATAAAAGGCACCATGTACGCAGCCGAGTGTTTCCAAAAGCCTCGTTCTAAGCTGGACAAAGATGACAGTGTCAGCTGACCACTTTCTGTCCAATCAAAGGCGTGAGGAAAGTGGGGAAAAAAATGAAGTCGACTTTTTCATTCTTTGCCCAAGTAACTGCATAGCTTACCCAGTCAGAATGTACACCGCGCTTGGAAGGAAATCCACATGCTTTTATTCACGTATAGTAACTTAGTGTCTCTTTCCCTTTCTTTCTCTCTTGCTGACACACACACATACACACACACACACACACACACACACACACACGCACGCGCGCGCGAAGCCTGCTTGTCGTTGCCTGATCCTGCCCAAACAAAGGACATTTTTGAATTTAGTGTCTAAAGGTTCCAAGCACTTCACAAAAAATAAAATACAACAAACATAAAATAAAATTTCACTAGATTTTTGAGTCGTTAAATATGGCGCGTCCGATTTCAGAACAGAACTGTACTGATGAAACAATAAAATATTTAATGACAATAAAAAACTTTGATATTTCAGAGGAAGGACTTCACGTGCGCTTTTTCATGATGCTACTAATTGGACAATCGCTATTTGGAAATGTGTTGTGTGTCCCTGTGTATAAGGAAAAGGTTAAGGCGAATGAAATAAGAAAACACATTTGACTCGTGTTAAAAATATGTCTTTTGAACGAAAATAATTTCACATTTTATTTTTTTACTTTTGGGGAAACTGCACGCGCAAATTCTTATGTTTTTTTCTAGTGGTTTAGATGTCAATGCTAAATCATAGTAGCCTACAGCGCGGCCTGATTTCATACAAACATGTCCAGATTGTTTTATCCATATTCTCATCTTATGACTAAAGACATATATCTTTCTAGTTTATGAAAAAATCACAAATGTAGGAAAAAAAAACACCAATGTAGGAGGTTTGGTCGTTTGCGCCTCCTTAAATGTAAGTCACTGCCACTATGTATAATAGCATAGCAAGATCCATGTAATGTTATTTATTTTTCCTTAGTTTACAGACAGTTTGATCAATGTATTCCATTTGCAAACAAAAAATACACTTGTCTGGCAGTTACAGTAATTTTGACATGAATTTTGCGGTTTTTATTTTACTTTTTACTTTCCTATACAGCGCTTTACATCGTATGATTTCTTAAAACTAGCTGCATACTTTACTGCGTGTGTCTGTGTCCTTTTGTGCAGAGGGAAATGTAAAAGGGAAGGGGGTCGTTTATGGCGGTTTTACTGCTAAAGAATGCCTTAACGCCTGAGCCGCTGAAGTCATAAAACCAGACAAATGTCAGCTTCCAGCAACAGCGCGTTTACCAGCAGCACGAGCGACAAAAAACTCTATTAATGGTTGTTTATTTTACTTACATTTACTTTTATTGTTGTCAATATTACTTGCACATCGTCGCTGTCGAGACAAAACCTTGTCATTCTTTGATAGAATTTAAAAGTACCAGCTGATCTTTACATTGCGTTAGCATTTCATGATGAACGGTCCAATTGAAATGCTCTAAAATGAACTGGAAAACAATCTGGTTTCATTAACTCCCATTCAAAGTTAAAAAGTTAAAATTTTTCTTCTCCTGTAAAGTTACCTTTTTGGAGATAGGAGGTTTTGTCTCGACAGCGATGGTATGCTGTGTACCTAAAGCCACAAAGCATTGGTGTGTTGGAGGATTTGCGCTCAGATTTCAAAATATGAAAAACGGCGCTAATGTTGTTTAGCCACATGCGGTTTAGCATGTTTCTCATCTGCTTGTGGACTATGTGGTCCACTGGGCTGAGAAGAAATTGATTCATTTTGAACGTTTCAATGCCACAGCACAACATAATAAAACAAACCGCACTCTACCTTGAGAAATGAGTACATCTGTCTTCACGCTGGTGCCTAAACCCAATTCTAAACAGAAGAAAAAAAAAGTTTGGACGCGGACAAGCGGCCATTGACAAGTCTGAATATGTTTCAGGGCAAGCATAACTGCAGGGCACAGCTGAAGATAAAGGGAAGTCGTGTGTAGCGCACTGTGCCTGAATGGCGAGCTTCTCATTTACGTAGCACACTGTCGGATACAAACCTGACAGGTCACTTTGATCCTGAACTCTGAAGCCTATTAACATAATTTAGGCCACATGAGTCGCGCTGCTGATTTGGCAGCAAAACAGACTATGATGAACGCATCCTGTACACGGTCCGCGATTGAAACAGCGCCAGGCCAAAAGCTGCGAACAGCCACCCAAACACTGGAAATGGAATTAGTCACGATCTACTCCCTTAAACACATTTGCTTGGGCGCAGGGTAGATCACAACTGACCAGCAGACATTATACCGCTGCGCAATATATAAAGTGAATATAAGCTGGAAAGGGAAAACAGAGCTCTTGTGGATCTGAAGTAGAAGCGTGCAGTGAAGTGTTTTATTGCATCCTTCTGGCGAGGGCCATGAGAAGTTGAACATGTTTCTGGGAGATGTCTCATTTGGAAGTCAAAAACAATATTGTTTATACTTTACCACCGGCCTAATATATATACATACATATATATATATATATATATATATATATATATATATATATTAATCGCTCTCTCTCTCTCTCTCTCTCTCTCTCTCTCTATATATATATATATATATATATATATATATATTACATATATAAATATATATGCATTTTTTTGCGGCTGTTCTTCACTTTTTGCGACTAAAATAAGTGAGAACAAAGAACAAACTACAATTAAACGCAGAAAGTAACTAAATAACTCTTAAAGTACTTCAGTAAATTTAAATTTATGGCTTTTACATTATAGGCCACAATTATAATTAATGAACTCACAAATGTACTGTACAAAAAGAACAAAAACTTTTGACTGGACTGATGCTAACACTGGTAGCACAGTTCATTTCTGGATAAAAATTAAAATGAATTCTTGAAAATTGCATTCACAACAACAACTACCACTAATGCATCTAATACTTCTACTATGCCATTATTATTATTATTATTATTATTATTATTATTATTATTTCAAACCACTCTTCAGTATGACGCCATGTTCTTTAAGCTCTAATGCCTTTCATGTCTCTGCTCCTTTATATCTAGCAGAGCCAGAGAGGCTCCTCTCGTGTTGCTTTCACAGTTAAATGGTTATGAGGTGTCGCTGATGTTTCCAAGACTAGAGAGACTTCCGCTGACGACCTTTTGGGGGGCTGTAAAATAGACACAATTGGTCCACGTTTGCTTCGGCTGCTGAATACATTGCGTCTGATCACGGAGTCATTTTTAAAGCTTGTAAAATTAACTCAAAACCACTTAGTCACAACTCACTGTTTGATCAGCTGCCCACTGCACACTGGAGTATTTTAGTGCATTTATTTGCTTGTTAAATGCATGAGCTCTAATCTGCTTTAGTTCACTCGAGATTCTGATATAGTTTTCAGCCTGCGGACACTTTGGAATTGTGTTTTGAGAACAAACATTAATATGATTCGAGTAAATATGTGATGGTAAACAAATATCAGAATACCGATTAGACAGAATTCAGTTTGACTTCGGTGAGGGGGGCTATCCTGTAATTGGACGGTAAATTTCAATTTAAAATTTCTATTTTTAATTTCAGTTTTGGAAACTTAAGAAACGTATTTGTAATTAAGGAGAATGAGGACTTCTGCCTGTTTCTTTTTGCATGTTCTCAAACCAGGGAAAACCACCTTACTTCCTCGTTTGACTCGACCATGAATGCAACAGCTCCACCTTAAGCCTCGCTGTGTTTTGGCTGCAGCTCCACTGGAAGTAGCCTGTCTTTAATTTACAGTGTTATCGTCTTTGTTTAAGCCACGAATGTTGCAGGAATTAGATACAAACCCAGCAGAACGAATGACTACAGAAGCTGGAAGGAAATGAATCAGTGAATGTCCACGATGAGCCAAATACAAAAGCTATTTTAAAGACCACAGCTCCATAGGTCCATAATATTTGTGGAAAAAAAAGCACAGAATTCCCGCAGTACATTCCTGGAATAACGCCATGACGTATATGAAGGCTGCTCACGTGGCTCGAGGCAAAGTGAAGTTAGAACTTTCACTGTACTGATTGGGTGTTTCAGAAACAATGAAACGTTCTGACACATTCAACATATGAAGATATCTGACTGTTGTTTCATAATTTTATATATATATAAAAAAAAATCAAATAAAATTTCATCAAGTGTTGGGTGTTGAATACAGTTTTTTGTATTTGGAGCTTAACTTGAAGTTCTTCCTTCAGCTTCACAGAAAATTATTATTGTTGTTTTTATTAATGGAGATTATGATGTGATGGCTAAAACTGTTGTTGATAACAATGAAAGTTGAACCTTATGCATTATATTGGCCTAACGCAGCATAAATAATATAAATATGTCCATTGTAAACAAACTGAGCTTAAAACTGAGTTAAATACAAGTTCACTTGTTATTACAGATCAATGTTTTTTTTAAGTAAACTATGTTTGGCTTCACCTCTAACACTGTTTTAATTTGAAAAACGTCTGGTTTGTAAAAAC